TGATGAGGCCATGCTGAGGAAAGCAGCAGAGACCACGGAGGTCCTGCTGGACCACGAGAAGGAGTGGAAGCTGGGGAAGTGCATCCTCCGTTTCCCAGAGATCCTGCAGAAGATCCTGGACGACCTCCTGCTCCACACGCTCTGCGACTACCTGTACGAGCTCGCCACTACCTTCACGGAGTTCTACGACAGCTGCTACTGCATAGAGAAGGACAGACAGACGGGTATGTGTTCAGAAAGATATCGAGATCAAAAGCACACGCTCATCAACGCTCTGCTCACGATGGGACTCGGCACATTAACGGGAGGTTTCACTCTGAGAGGGATTTGACTAAAAGCTGCCTGAGCGCTGTTGGTCCTCCACTTGTTCCCGTTAGAAACGCCTCCCTGTGGTGCACTGAAGTGCTCCAACTTCAAGTTTAGAGCTGCTTAATTATGCCAAGTCTCACTTTCTCAGCTGTGGCAGTAACCCCAGCTGGAGGTTATTGTTTTCTTTCATTATGTCAGACAGAAAACAGTTCAGACTGATGTGTGTTCAGTCCCAGGATACAGGAAATGGTGCCTTGGAAAATGTCTGCTTGGCCTCGTTTATCTCCTCGTCGCCTTCACTTCAGCATCAGCAGCACTCTGTCCTCGTCCTTTACACTTGTTTGTGAAAATTACAAACCAGTTTTTGCCGTTCAACCGGTTTAATTCACCCTCTTGCTCATTACCGACTTAATTTCTATGGGATTTTCTGCTCCGTGTAGCGATGAGGCCTGATGGGGTGGACGGTCATGGAGGTTGCGTGTGGATGCAGACGTCTGGGTCGTTGCTTCTCATTTGATGCTGTGGAGTCTGCTGCCGTCATTAAACGTCTCCTCTGACCTTTTGCTGTTTGTTGTTATCGTTTTGTGCTTCACCTCTAACTCGCTCTCGCTCTGTTTTCCATCTCTCCAATCTGCCTGACTTCCCAGTGTGTTTATTTTCTCTCTCCCGTTCTTCTCATCTCTTGTGTCTTTAGTTCTTTTTAAATCACCTATTGAATCTGTTAGTAGATAGTACTATATGGGTCATATATCTGTAGTATTTACCTGTGAAATGTGTGTTTCTCTCTCTCCAGGTGAGGTGGTGAAGGTCAACATGTGGAGGATGCTGCTCTGTGAGGCCACGGCGGCCATCATGGCCAAATGCTTCGACATCCTGGGCATCAACCCCGTCGGGAGGATGTGATGTCACAGTGCCGCCATCTTTGTCCCAGAATCCAGAGCGGGAGAAGTGACGACGTGACGATAAACAGTAAACGTTCTCCATCACACACATCGCAGCCAAAAACTCGCTAGGTTTTAAGAATCAATTCCAACAAAGTTATTACATCCATCCTGGGTCCATTCATTAACATCTCATGTGAACTTTCTTTTTTTATTAAAGAACCGATGTGAAACCAAAGCAATCACCCAGTCTGTTGTCAATTATTGTCAAATTGTGGATCTCTCTGTTTAAAGCGATTTACTATCGTGATGCATGAAATTTGAATTGAAGCTAAAAAGAAGAGAAAAAACAAAACAAACCCATTTAGATCAAGTGTAAAGTGCTGTTATTCATGTTCTCTGTTAAAGTTACTGTGAGGCGCTTTTAACTGGTTATGAAACGGTCTCAATTTAGTACTGATGCCTCAGTATGATCTGCATAGATAACGTGGTCATTAGCGAGATTGGCTAATTCTGTATAGTTATTCTTGAGGCTTGTCATCGGTGCCACCGGCTCGTGTTGTGGTGAGATCAGAGGACGTCGTGCGGTAGTGTCGGGGTATTCTAAAGGGGACATCTTCACTGTGCTCATGAATAAAATACAGCAAATGCTCACGAATTAGTTGCATTTTGCTAAAAATGTTGCATTTTGTTTGAAAAATACAATTAATCAATTATTAACATAGCTGATTAACCATTAACATGAAGTGAATTCATGAATATTATTCGTAAATTATTGTTAGACCAAAAACGTTTGAGTCCTAAAGTCAGGACTGACGCATCCCTTATTTGTAGGAGCTTCTCCTAACTTCGCAGGTATGAAGTTCCTCTCAACTCCATAATGTTGGATGTGAATAGATTGTTATTCACTTTAAACACTGATTCATGCTTGTTGGATTCTGGTAGGTATCCTTTTTTAAATGGGGTCCGACCATTGTGGGCCTTAGAATGAATGAAAGCAACACACACTGCACCGGTGTTCACCGGGATTGTCTTATTTTCTACATCCAACTTCAGCCATCAGAGTGAGTGTGTAAGAAGCTCTAATCACACATAAAGCACCAGTGAGAGAGAGAGAGAGAATAGCTTTGCTCGCATTTCAACTCTTAATTGCTTTCTGCGGCGTCGTCCTCTCTGCTGAGCAGCCGTTGACGTATAGAAAGTCACATTAGACTCGAGCTGCTTTCTAGACAACGACAATTACAGTCTCTGCCTTCCATGACGTGTGTGAGGAAGTGGGTTTTGTTTGCAGGAATTTAAAGTCCAAGGCAAACGAACCCATTTGATGAAGTTAATTATACATCACATGCACTGAGGCAGCCTGTAATTGTTAAGCCTGCACTTCCATCGCTATAAAAGCTGTGCAACTCTGGAAATTGCCACAAGTCATACAATACATGTTGGAAGAGTGCTGTGGGGGAAGATGCGTGCCTGTGACCCATCTTTGAAACGTATGAAATATCTTCACTCCTCTCCTTTCTAGTCGTCTCTCATCGTTCAGTAGGTCCCAGGACTTGATGGCTCATCTCGGTACCTTCTAAGGCAATAATTCCCAGAGCAGATTCATGAAAGATTCATTAAGCTTTCAAAGAGTCGTGCCTCTCTTTTCTGAGCTGCTGCTGAAGGACGGTGTTAAAGGAGTTTTGACAGTCGCTCCAGGAGGAGAGAGCCTGCCACGCTGCTTCAATAACGCCTTCGGAAGCAATAACGTTCCACCGCCTCAATGGGACGGACGGATCTCGTCACCCGGTGGCCTCAGCTGATATTTATTCCCTTTCTCTCGTGTCTCGGGGTGGATTAGAGAGGCGGGATGGTGACGGGGGGTCGCCCCGTTTGAAGGCCCTAGCGGTTTGGAGAAACTGCCCGTGGTGATCCGAAAGGATCGGCATCCTCCTGGCTGAGGATTTAACATTCAGGAGAGAGGTTTTGGGGGTGTGCAGCTGGTGCAGCTGGGACGTGCAGACCAGAGGTGGAAGGTAAACATGGATGTTTATTGAGTACCGTGTACAATCTTTGTGTTCTCGTACTTAAAGCTGCACTAATCCACACCATTTCAGATTAACAAAGGACTTTGTGTAATATGAAAGTGGTGAACCCACCTCCACAGAGCGTAGTAGCCTCTTTTAGCTCCTAGTTTTATTTTACATTCACTGTATGGTTGTGTGTCACTGCCTTTAATCCAGCAGGCAGCTGTTTCCAGTGAAAACGCTACGATAAACCCACTTTACACCACCTGTCCAACACCTAACAGCAGACCGACATCTCCCTCAGGTGGTGGAGACCAAACCGGAGTTAAAATAAGAGTGAATGTTGGACTTACATTTGTGCTGACATTGCTGTGTCTGCTGAATGTCAGTAAACCTTTGAAGCTGAGGCCAAAACGTGTTAATGCAACTTTAACTGAGGTCAAGTTTAGTTTTTCCATTTTGGAAGATTTTCTTTCTTCTACTCTATAATTCAATGATGCATGTAGTTGGCCACATGGAAGCAGAATGTCTCACGTCTACCACACTTTCTTTGTTACAGCTAGATTTCCACATCCAGCAGATGTGAAGGAACTTTATCGTCCAATTGGAGCTGTGCTTGTGTCCACCGGATGAACGTAAGGCCGACATTTCCTCTTCTCTAAGCTCTGGTTTGGGAGTAAAGAGGCTAAAAAGAGCTCCAGAGTTTGTGACGATTTTGCCATTTCAGCACTACAGGCTGCTCCTTGCACATCAGTCATTTGATTTAAGGTTCATATTATAAAAATGTATTGAATGTAATCAAAGCATCTGATCTCTGGGGAGCTGACTTAATAGCTAACCACTTTCTTTGCCTTTAACCTTTGACCTCGAGTTCATCCCAAATACGCCTCATGGTATTTTAGCACCATATGGGAGGAACAGACTCGTACAGAAATTAAACCCGCCTGCAGGCACTTCTGTGCTTCTGTTATTTGTAATTTGCATAAATTATCCCTCTTCCTTAAAATCCTGTTTAGACTGGGGCATGGTGTCCTCGCCACAAGAAGTATTTTTACATCACGTTTTGTTGCTCGGCATCTGTCTCTCGCTCTGAGTGCCTCCGCACCAAGTGTTTGTCAGAGATGAATCAATAAGAGATGTCAATAAGCCGTATGCAAATGAGATACAAGTGGGCGTCGTGAGCATGAGAAAGAGGCGACAGTCTTGAGTTTGTTGGAAGTCAGCAGCGCGACCACAGTGCCAGGCTTATTAATCTCTTGCGCTTCGATGGCGCAGTGTGGTACCTCGTCTCCACACTGCCTGCTGTCCCCCCCCCCCCCCCCCCTTCCCCTGAAATTACAGTCGGTAATCTGTTTGGCACTTAGACGAGTCACAGAGGAGGAAGAAACACAACAGGAGACGGGTTCAGAGAGAAATAAACATTTTAATTAGGCGTTTGGCACTGATAAATCTAGATTTCACACGCACACAAACAAGGGAACATTTCTCGCAATTAAATAAGAGATTTGTATGTCGATGTAAGATTTGTTTTAAGATATACATTAAGTTAAATAATCTGAAATGTGGTGTTTGAATGCACACACACACACGCCCTAATTCATAACTCTGACACTTTGAAATATATAGAACAAGCCAACTTGGACAGTGAAGTAAGGCTCAAGTGCCACATGAAATAAGACTGGTCATCACAGAGACACGTGGACATCACGCTCTTGACCAAGAATAAATACAAGTGTTAAGATATTCAGGAAGTATGGAAAGTTGTCCGTCTCGCCCCCCCCCCCCCCCCACTGTGTGGCGTCCGTCAAACTTTAAAGTCGCGTTGTCCTGTGGAGAGGTAGGTATCGCCCGTCTTTGAACTGACACACACACACACACACACGTGTGTTTGTCCTTTTATCGAATGGGTCAAAATTCACAAGTGTGATTTTAAAAAAGTAAGAACAGTCACTCAAATGGGATAAAGGGACGTGGGTGGCAGGGTGTTGAAACCTTGTCACAGCTGGATCCAGCTGCTTTGTGCCGCGTCTGAAAAATAAATAGTCTTTGGGTGTTTGATTTCACCTCCACAGTTCAGTTCATGTGGCGTTGGAACACCAGGATTGGTGGTTTCTGACACCCCTTCATCGAGTGACCTCACCGTGTTTCAGGGCTGCCGTGTCTCGTTTCTCTCCGTGACGTTGCTTTGTTCCTAGTCGTGGGTTTAGTACAGATGCCGTCGTCCTCCTGCCTTCTCTCTCCTCTTCCCTTTCAACTGAAGCCAAATGTCTGGTGGCTAAAATTCTGTTTCCTGTCCTTATTTCCTGTGTTCATCCAGGCAGCTGCCATGCGTTTCCCCTGCCTCTTTCTCCGTCTTCAGGAGAGAACGATAACTCAATTTGCGATTCCCTTTTTCTGGATAACATGTTTTAGGAACAGAAAAAAAACTGGGCAAAGTTAAAATGTCACAACTCTGTCCACTTGCTCCATCTCGCCCATTTTCCTCAGAAGTCAAATCAGGCCTCAGCTTTTCATATTCCCATCAAAACGTCCTCGGAGCTCGCCAGGGTTTGCATTATTTTTTGTGAACTTGAGTGTGAAGCGTAACAGACGCAGCAGGGAGTGCTGCCGGCAAACTGCAAGGTCACTGACAAAGAAGGGAACATACACAGCAAGTTGAAAAGAAAGCCAAAGAGACTGCCGTTCAAATGTTTCAGGGAAGCCCTCACAGGTCACCTTCCCTGCTCGCTGTGCTCTGGGCCACGAGTTCCACTTTGAAAAACTTAGAGAAATTCTTGTGAAAAGGATGCCGTTGTCTTCTTGTTTCCAGCATTCTGCCATGAGGAAAGGGACGCGGTTCAACCAGACTACAAGTTAGGGGTGAGTACTTGATCCTCCTCAGCCTCCACATCTGCATCGACTCATATGTTGGTCTCTTTGTGTTCTGCTCTGAAGGAGTTCCTGATCGCCAGGAGACCGGAGGCCAGAAGATGGCCGCTGACTTTGCTGTGCCACTCTTGGGACCGGCCCCTGGAAGATAAAAACCAACGAGATCTTTCAGCAAAGAAAAGGTCAGTGATAAACAAGCGCTCAGCTCGACTGGTGTCAATGACACGAGAAGCTTCTTCTTCTCTATTTTATTTGTGTAGATGCTCATGGAAGATTAAACTTACAAAAAGGTAGTCGATATTGAATATTTAATGAAGGTTTGTTGAGGACAATGTTTTCCATACGGTAATTGTAGAATCATGTATCTTGTAAAGACACTAATAAAGTATTTATTTATCTAAATAACGCAACAGGAAATGTACTGTTGTCTCACCTTAGAAGTTAACAAACACTTCACATTAATGTCACAGCGAGGTTGCCCAGAACAGCCCGGCTGTTTGAGACTTTCAGCTCGAGCTCTGTGATGAGAGGAAAGTTGAAGGCGAGAGGAAGTGACAGACAAAAAGAGCGAAGGCATTCATCCCTCTGGGTGTTTCCACTTCTTTGTTACACGATCACTCTTGCATAACGGGAGCGTCGGCGGGCCGACGGTACGCTGGTTGTTTTGTAAATGATCTTGGAATCAAAGCTCATTTCACCTCTGCGCTGCGCTGCAGAACACTTTCAGCTCGTGGAGATTTCCCCGTCAATCCACCACCTCTGTTCTTTATTCAGCACATACTCGTCGGGAAAATTACAAATTGACACAAGTCTGGATGCGTGCTGACGTGATCCTTTCAGTTCGACTGAAAGCCTGCAGAGATAATCACGCAGCTATAGATCAGATCTGTCTTTACTTTAGTCTGTTTCTCAGTAAAACGATGGACGGAAAGTTATTCAATCAGATTTATGACTGACCTTGAGGATTTATGATCAGTAAATCAAAGTTATGGCTGCGATTCTGACTTACTGAGTAAAAAAAAAAAAAAAAAAGTGATGATGCAGATTTTTGGGAGGTGTGAACCTCCACCCCCCTCTGGCTCCCTGTGCTCTCAGCTATATTGAAACTGTCTGTGTTCATAACTGAATTGACCAAATCTGTGATTGCCTTCTCTTGCAGCATGTTAGAAAAAAAGAAACAGCAGCAGCAACTATAGCGCAGTTTAATGACGGAGATGCTACGAGCGAGACGCCACCACTCGTTTCGAGTTGCACAGAGCTCCATTTCATTTAATCAACTGAGACAAATGGAGCCGCAGGGCTCCGCCGGGAGCCAAATTGATCATGTAAGCAGCGGAAAACCTGCAGCAACTTAGTATCAAAGGGCATGAATCATGAGAAGGAGGGCTGTTCGTCGTCCTCATCATGTGCTCACCTACAGGGAGGTGGTGATTGTGCTGCAGATAGATGTTGGCCGAGGTCAAAAACACAGAACGGGCTCAATTGAGACGGATGAGATCAACTAAGTTTTGACGTTGTACTTCTGACTCGACTTTATTACATAAAGTGCACTAATTATTGTGAAGCATTTTCAGATTGGGCCTCACGTTTTCATGCAAATGTTATTTATTATAAATTAAAAACACGGTGAATGGTTTAAAGGGTAATTTCAACCAACTCAGAAAGACAGCAAGGGTTAGTGAGAACACAGCCCCTCTTTTGTGTTTCGGTATTACCTGTCCACTGTCTATGAAAGTGAAACTATCTCATAACTGTCTCTATCCAGCAGGTATCCTTCACACAGACAGCGACTGCATCCTTACCTGGTGTCTGTGCGACAGAGGTGCGTCAGTCGGGTCTTCCTGGCTCCGGTGGGCTCCAGCAGGTAGAGGCAGGAGTGGACGTGGGCCCTAACCCCCTCCGACAGCACCTCGGGGTGCTCCGTGGACACAGAGGACAGGTATAGAGGGCCGGAGGAAGGGATCGCCTGCCAGGTCCTGAGAGAGTGTAGGTGAGAAGAGATAATCATTGGTGGAGAATCCAAATGTGATGGCTGCCAATATTCTGATTCCAACTACACAGTATTTTAGCTTTCCACTGTAGGCAAATTGTGTTAAATGGCGATAAAATAAAAAGCCCTGCAAGCAGTTGATTGATGTCAAAACCAGCACTGACACATGAAATAACTGTCATCTGCTCTATTTTGTCAATCATGAGTTCCTTTCTGCGGATATCACTTCAAAACTGTGATTTGTTGGCCGTTAAATGACTAGCCTCATTACCTGAGCAGGAGATGCTCCTGTGGGAGCCGGGAGCTCAGGGCGTGGCCTTGGCCCTCGAGGAGGTAGCGGTAGACTTCGGAATCCTTGGACACGGTCTGGATGACGGCCGCCTGGCGCAGGCTTCCCTCCCACAGCTCCTGCTCCCTCAGCAGCCGATGGAGCAGCTCCTTCTCGGGGACTTCCACCTCCACGGAGCCGCGCCACATCCACAGCAGGCAGCCGTCGTCCATCTGCAGACAGAAAATGATACCATGCTATGCCAAAATCTGTGTATGATATACATACCATACTATGATTTTTGTCATGACCTTTTTTCACATATCTGTATGATATGATATGAATAAATGCTATATTATCTTTCTTCCGTGTAAGTTCCCCATCCCCTGATGTCCTTAGTATACATAATGGAACTAAGACATTTACCTTCTTGAAGGCCAGATCCACATGTTCTGGAGCCTGATGGCTCTCCCAGCCTCTGCTCTTCTCCCTGGCCTCCTTCAGGAGGTGCTTGGTGCTCAGCTGCAGCTTGCTCCTTCTCTTCTCCAGCTCCTCCTCACCTCCACTGTGACTGGGGGACAACGGGCCTCCTCCTCCCTCAGAGAGGGAGTCCTCACTGGAGCCTGCAGCACCAGAACGCTGACCAGGCCAAAACTCTGGAAGCTGCAAAGAGCATTTTTTAAAAATCTGTTATCATTACTTTAATTTTGTCTCGTACGCTTCTAAAGTGTTTTCTTTGCAGGAATCCTGAATTTCATTTGAATACCTTTTAAGAACACATTGTCACTTCAAGTTCTATGCTTTAACATCAGCAACACACTTTAATATACTTTACTACACATCGATTTAAAGATAGCAAAACTAAACAGTCGTAGTTTGTGATAACTCTTTGGACCAAAGCATCTTAATTTCGATAGACTAGGTGGGAACAAAGAACAACAGTGAGTAACTAAACCAATGAACATAGTATGACTTTGTTCAACATAGTACACAATTACTTTTTAATGAATCATTTTGACATATTACATTATGACTTTTTACGACATACTCTAGTATGACATACTGTACTTTGCCATAGCCGAGTATGCAATAAAATATATAAAAATATAGTATTTAATTGTATATGTCATACAATATTTCATACTATAATATGCCATGGACAACCAGTGGAGCAGCTTTTGTACCTGGAAGAGTCTGTGAGCCTCGGTGATCATGTTGGCCAGTCCCTGGGTGGCAGCCAGATTCTCACTCAGGTCCCGCTGATCTGGGCGTCCCAGGCTGTACTTCCTGTGACTCGACCTTCGGCAACAACAGGAACAAGGTCGCGGTCACTTTCACGTTTAGATAAAGGCAGCGAGCATACTGAACTCAATCTCTGCTGAAGTAGAGACAAAAGAGGTTTTGGTGAGATTACAATGAGCCTGATTTGGATTTGGGCACAACAGGGTGATAGACGGGTGCCATTGTGCTTCTTTTATTTCTTTACAGTTTTGGAAACACTGACAGGAAATGGGAAGAGGGTGTGACACATATGACATGCTGCCATCACAGCAGTCTGCCAGTCAGCTGAAGCAGTTCTTTACAGGCAGCAGACAGGAATCGGCAGCACTGCGTCAGGATTACTGCAACTGACAGATTCAGGTTATTTTGGAAAGCTTACAAAAGAAGTTGTTTTCCTTGATTTTTATTTGATAGGTAAGTTTTATCATTTGTTTTTTAGTTTCTGATGCCTGATGACAATTTGTCACACCAAACGGCACAGATTCTCTTCAGCGCTGCAAAATGGGGAAATTAGACACCAACACTTGCACCAAACCGAGTTGGTCGGACGACAAGTTCGACCATTAAAAAGTACATATCTCTGTAGGAGTGATGAGTTCTGTCAAGCAGAAAGATGAAGGAAAAGACTCAGAGATGAGATTCAATAGATCTGTGGGAGAACAGCTGGGAGCAGCAGTTACTGTTCCCACCACAAAGTGTGACATGCTTTCTGACAGGTTGGGACTTTGGCTTCCAGGAGACGGGAGGCACAAAGTGCCGATTGTGTTGTTTTGCCTTTTCCATCTAGTGTCCCCTCATCCTGAAAGGGAGACAAAGCCAAAGTGGAAAAAGGGAGAGGTGGAGATGAATGGAAGGGAGGAAGAGGAGTCACGGAAAGCAGAGTGATTACAGGAATGAGAAGAGGAAACGATGTGGAGGAGGAGATACGAGGGTAATATCGGGGAAGGAAGAGGAGCAGAATGAAAGAGACAATATCAGGGTGGATGGAGAAAAGAAGGATGACAGGAAAAAGGAGAAGATGAGGGAGTAAGGAAACGAGATGGAATGGACAAAATGTGTAGCGCGGCATCAAAGAAGAGTAAGTACGAATAAGGAGGACAGGTTGAACCAAACATTAATGTAACTAACAACTATTGTGTGTGTATCAATGCCTGATTCATCTTCTTCCTCTGCCATCGAGCTCCACTGTTGTCCAAAAACTATTAAAAACACATCAATGCGTAACACTGTTGCACTGGGTGACATGTTTCTTCATTGCCGTGAACACACACACACACACACAGAGTAGTTTATTTAGACTCACTCCGACATACAACGTCCCAAATATTACCTGGAGCACCAAATGTGGATTAATCCGCAGCTAAAAAAAAAAAGTCCCCAACAAATGCAACTTCCTCCAGTTTGTTTTTATAGAAACTACAGGGATCAGCTGTTTAAAGAAACGACTGAGCCTGAAATTAAACTATATATCGGTAAGCTGTTTTTAAAGTTTTACATCTTCAGTAGAAACCAATGGGCTTGGAGCTGACAGCCACAGACAGGAAGTCAGGGAGTATTGGGAAACAGACCAACACATTGTTGGGTTTGGTGGTGTTCTTGCAACTTGTTGACAAAGCAATCATGTAATCATTTAAAAACCTGCAGTTATCCGAGTGCCTCCGGTTGAACTGACGGAGGGAGTTTATAAAGATGGAGTTTAAACAAGGGGACTAAAAAATACATGTAGAATAACATAAGCCTAATCCTTGTGTTCAAATGTTTACTTCTGATAACAATGATTCATTCATGCATACATACAATGAGCACATTTCTGCAGTACAAACTCTGAGCTCGGATGACTGATCTGCGGACACTGATGAATCATCAACTGCATAGCCGTTATCATTCTGAACAGTCTCATTATCTCTCTCTCTCTCTCTCTCTTTCACTCTCCCATTACTAACTCCCTGCCCAGCCGGATTCTCTGCTAAAAACCAGATAGAAAAATATCTCTCATATCTGGGAGTGAAGTTGAAGCACGACGGAAATTGTCGGAGGTGATGAAATGGGCTCTCTGTGTAAACTGTGCCGACAGCTTTTCTTTACAGAGACAAAGTGAGAGTGTGTGACAGCTGGATCTGATCCAGAGGTGATGTCATCTGTGAGAGCCGAGAACCTCGGAAACATGATGTCTACTGAAGCCACAAAGGGAGGAAGAAAAACATGTTTCTATGGCATCTAGATGGCAACCTGCCGCGCGTAACAGCGAACACGCACGTTCAGACACAGACGCACGCATTAACCAGAAGCTGAAGCTAAATGAGAGGCTGAGATTTAACAGGGAACCAAGATAAAGTCACAGCCTGAAGCAAAAACTAAGTGTACTAAAGTTGTAACAAAATGATTCAATCATATCCTGTGCAATCATGTTTTGGACTCTCAGCAATTTACTTGGTAAGTAAAATATTATAACGGATAGGAATGATGGATACCAGAACTTTAACAACTAAAATATGAATTAAACCCTTGGTTTTTGCTGAAATATCATATTAACAATTTGCAGTAAATGAGCTTACTCTCAGAGAGACATAACAGCAGAGGTGTGACTGCTGCAGAGACTTCTGTAACTGTGACAATGTGCTGCAGACTCCACACCCCCTCCATTCATTTCCATCTTTTTCTGATGTTGGGTGAAAATGTTCTACCTGACCTCAATTTTTAGAGAATTAAATAGCCAACGTTAAGTGTAAGTGAAAAGGTAACTGATGCAGGTAATTCGGTGTCCGTGGTCTCAGCTCACCTGGGTGCGTTGGCGTCTCTCTTCAGGGTGTTGAGGTGGAAAAGTGACGGCGCCAGGCAAACTGCAATGTTGGTTGGAGTCATTTGGTTCTCGTCCACGCAGGCCACCACGTCCCGCAGGAAGAACAGCAGCGTTCGCAGCGCCATCCTGTTCTCGTCGGGAAGAAGCAAGATGGCCGCCTGAGCTGCAACCAGCTGTTGATCCTTGGGAAAATCTGCAAGTAGAAAGCTAACCTGTTCATATTTTAATCATGCAGTTTACATGGTTTTGCTACTACAAATGTCAGCATGATTATCATACACACAATTAGCATTTGAACTCGCTAATGATAAGAGTAATGACTGCTCACATTGGTAGATGTGGAGGAAGGACTCGCAGAGTTTGCTGGTGAAGATGGGTTCAGGCAGGTCTCTGAAGTATTGCTTCACCATGTCGGCCACGTCGAAGGCAGACTGGCCGTCGTACGAAACGCCGTCTGGGTCAGACTCCACCAGCTCACGGAGGTACTGGATACGAGACTTCACGCCTGACTTGCGGAAAAGACCCACCTGAGAAAGAACACGATGCAAACGAGAACTTTTCATCAAAAGCAAAAAAAGATTTACATAAAGATTTTCCTCAGTGTTGAACTTTGCTAGGCCTGATTTTTTACCTCTCGTATTGTATGTTTTGAAATATCCCAAAAAGCACAATGCGATGAAACTATTTTTAAAATGGTCTTTGGGTCGATGCCACCGCCTCATAATGGTTTCATTGAATCTTACTCTCAAGTCCAACAGCGTCTCCTAGTGTTTCTAAAATCAACGCAGGCCGCTTGTGGTTTTTGGCTCCTTACCTGGTCCAAACACTCGGTCCTCAGGTAGACCAGAGCTCTGAGGATGCTGGGTGGAAGTGGCTCTCCTGTCTGCTGGACGCTGAGGAGCAAAGGAACCCCAAAAACCCGCCGGCCTTTCACCTCCATCACCTTAGTCTTCCTCGGCGGTTTAGGAACAGTCCTGCGGGTGAAAAAGATTACCATCAGACTCTGGAAGCCTTTCATTACAAGGAAGCAATCAAACAGCACGGACTAGTGCCGGGGGAAGAGTTATGTTATGTTGAAAATGTATCAAAAATAGTTTTGCAAATATCCTGGGAATTTGTAAACTCAAGCAGTCAAGTGTAAAAAAACAATTCTCAACTTGGCTGCGCTTGGATGCGTTTCCTTTTGAAGGAAGAGCCAAAGAACATTCTTTGATTACATAAATCCCCATTGATCTCTCCAATGTGTGTGCCATTCAAATCAGCTCTGCAGGAACAACATGAGCAGAAAGAAACCATGGGCGCTGATCAAAAAGATTGGACTTGTACAAGGACTGTGTCAGGGTTTTTGAACTGATACCGCCACCTTTTAACCATTAATACCAACGACTGATTTATTCTTTTCTATTGGACACTAATGTTCTCCAGATGCAGGAAAACAAAAAACTTAACTGCCGGACAAAAAACCCCATAGATAGCTGCAATGAATGTTAGTTTCTAACTCGAAACACTGCAGTCCTGTAAAAGCCATATTTAAAAAAGGAGAGATCTGAAGACCTCCAACAATCATTAATGAAATCTCTTCTCTACTCGGTATGAAACCACATTACGGCCCAGAGTCACAAAGAGAAAACTCTAAATGCTTTCCAGCTCTTTTCATCCCACTGTTTTGTCTTCCACATCTAACAGCGGCTCTCTGAACAAACTGACAATTTTGAGGAAAGCGCCTCAGAGTATCAACCGTCCCAATCAGCAGTTAATTGCTGTATTCTAGCGCTCGCTTTTTGAATCAGTGATTAAATCATTGAAATGACAAGACTTAACGTAATTGTTGAAGCCTGGAGAGATTTCTCTTTTTTTTTTCCCGGAGAAGTTGGCGGTGCTGTAGTGACAGAGCGCTAAGCTTTTTACTCACTATGTGTCCGACTTTAAAACACAAGTTACTGTTGAGCTGCGTTGAGTTTTAGTCCTATGCGGTGTCCTTGCCCACATTTGTGGTAAACAGGTTTCTCTTAAGGCAATAGTTTGGGAAATAAGTTTATTTGCCTTCAGGCAAAGAGTTATTGAGGAGATTGATACAACTCGTTCGTCAGTGACCTTTCAATGTGTAACCAATGAGAAGACTGGCTGAAATTATTTGTATTTCACCACAACTAATGCCATCCCCAAACCATCCTAAAAAGTACCAGAACTCCCAACAAAGTAATACGACTCGCCCGAACTTACCATATTTTGTGGGGATGAATAGAAAAGGACGGTGTGTCTAAGATGTATTATTGTCACACATTCCAAAACCAGTTCCAGGTGAAGGAACATGAAGTTCACTTTGTGTAAGAACAAGTCATTTGCACTTCAGAGTGTGTGCTCATTTAAAACTCCTGCTTTGTTGAACAAAACGTTAACTTGATGTTTTTTCTCCCTTTTTTCCCCGTAGAGGTCAGGTTTGACGTGATTTCTCCTGCATTTTGCTCCCTTTTCATGTGATTTATTAAAGTTTAATCTCTGTAAAAAAAAGAAGCGCTTTGAAATGCTAAAACACAACACACCAGAACTACAGGAAGCCTCGCTGATTCTTTTCAACCCGCTACCAATGAGCGGCCCCCACCGAACACGCGTTTGATCCCGAAAATGAAAGACGAACATCTGTGAGGAGTAATTTCGGGATGTTTTTTTTTATCCAAAGGTCATTCAACATTATCTCACCGAACATAACAGCCCCTTTTCTCTTCTTAGAAATGAATAGGTCTCGATTTTGCATGAGGGCTTATTCCGAAAACATAGTGTAGGAGGCAAAACCTTCATTAAACCCATGTATGTCAATAAAAAGTGCAGTGAAAACATCCTACATTTTAAACAAGAAAAGGATTTGAGCTCAACAGTCTGCAAACGACTTATTAAAAGACAAAAGGCCTTGATTTATGTCCCAAATCTTGTTGTTACCTCCTTTATCCTACTGCTACTACTGTCCCTCAGGGCTTGTCGTACCCTCACTACCTCTTTAAGAACATAAACACAGAACGAAAGGATCCTACACTACCAGAACCTGCCGTATGTCCCGTAACTGTAGCTGCTGTTAAAAAAGCTCTATAACAAAGACGGACGCATTAAAAGCTCCGCCAATGGTGTGAAATGGTATACACTTCCTGTCTGCTGAAGTGGTCATTGCGTGTTCGCCTCTCCCCACATCCTTCCATCTCATTTGGAAGTGTTTGCATGATGTATTTATTTTACTTTGCTAACATTAGATATTTACTAAAGAGAGTGTGTTGCTGAGAGAGAGAAATATATTGAACAAAGTTCATTTTCTCCTGATTTGTCCGTCTGAAAATTGCCATTTCCATTTTAGTTTCAGAATGTTGGGGACGTGTGTGGCTTGTGAAAAATTGGTGCAACGTTTACTTTGAAAGAATCGGCCATAATCTGTGTTCACTGCGAGACTTCTACAGGTAAACCGACTCTCAGTGGGGCGTCTCCTTTGTGAACTGTCTCTTCTATTGTGGCTCTATGTCTCGTGCTAACTTTGTGCTCGCCACCTCTGTTGCAGGGACTCGCTCGAGACAACCTACACCTAAACAATGTTCTAACTTCATTCTGTGGCGGGACATAACAGTTCTTTTGGCGTTGACCTCGATCCCCTTCTGCACATCATGATTTATGAGAAAGAAATATAAAAACAGATTAAGTCAGGAAAACAAGAGAACTGAGAACCCAAAATAACCCACAATGCCTGAGCAGTTAACCAAACCAAAATGCTCCCCAGGAACACAGAGACAAGGTGAAGCACCCACGGTTCTTCCTGGGGTTTATTGCTCTTGAAGCAGTTTTGTTTTTTTTTACGCCGAGGCACGTTGCACCCGAGCCACAAATAATATATGAATTTTCTAAATAGGCTGCGTGAAATATTTACCCACCGCCCGCCCATCTGCCCTCGTTTCCACTGTTGTTTCCTTGAAGAAGTTTCTCCACGCAGGTGTGAATGACAAACAATATCCAGGAATACAGAGCTTTGTTTCTCTGTTCAAACCTCACAGGTTTTTTTTTTTTTCAAGCTACGACATCATCAAAACTCTCTGTCCTGACACGCTTCTTACCAGTTCCAGCCCTGCTTACTGGACGGGGAGTATTTGTCCATCAGAGCGGTGAGTTTGAGCAGGGAGAGTTTCTGCAGCAGGAGGAACTGGGACACGGACTGGCTCTCCACTCCCGGACTGGTGGGCAGGGAGGGCAGGTTCTGCTCGCTGGACCAGTGCAGCTGCTGGCTCACTCTGCTGGACACACAGCAGCGAGAACAGATAAATACACAAATAGACACAAACAAGCGCAAACACACACACGTAAATGCCAGTTTTTAACATATCACAATCAAGACAAATCTCCCAGAGTTGGCACACACATTCTTGAAGAATATATATAAAATGAATGTTTTGCACTTAGATCTTATCACAGAAAATATCAACTTGTTTAATTAAAATGTCTCTTTCTTAATTGTCTCATCAGTTCTAACGGCAGGGACTTTGTATTTGGTGAAAAAGACCAATCAGAAAAAAAACACTGGATATAACAACATGCAATGATTTATTTAGATACCCTAACACAACAGATCCCCATGCACAAAGGAGATTAAGGTGCTAGCAGCCAAATGAAGCTGTAACACTGTTTACACAACAGAAAACTAAATTGTTAAGTTTGTCTGGAGGGTGGCGGCAAAGGAAAATCTCAACATTACCTCAATCATCAGGGTTAATCATCTGTATGGTGGCCATTTCTGATCATTTCAGCTCTACACTGTCAGACTGTCAGTTGTAGTGTGCTTATAACAAGTTAGCATTAGCATACAAGAATGCTCATGTTAGTTTTTATAACTAAATTTAGCGTGCTGCCTTAACCGTGGCATCTTAACGTGCTTACAGATAGCATGTCAACACGTATTCTGACATTTAGCACGCAGCATATTACATGTCGGCATGCTAACATTTAACATTAACATGATCACAGATAGTCAACAGGGCTTATGTTTGTATATGCTCGTCTTGCTCTTTTCTCAGATCTGGTTCAACTTTAGGCAGGTGATTAGCAGTTAGCATGTAAACACACGTGTACACTTAAGTAGAAACGTTTACCTAGTGCTGGGGCTGCATGAACAGTTAGGGTATAAACAAAGTAATCAAGATCCATCCCCCGAGGACCATGAATATCTGAACTTCATTCATTGTAATGAATCCAATAGTTCAGTTTAACCAAAGTGCTGCACCAAGCGGCATTCCTGTACCTGCAAACCCTGATGCTAGTGTGCTTAAAAAACAGGTTTAGAGACAAAGCACATCTGTGTGCACAATCCGACTCACATAACTTGAACCTATATTAAAACTATCCAGTAAAACACACACAGAGAAGAAAGAGAGAGAGAAAAAGCAGTGTCCAGCAGAGGACTGTTTGAGGGGAAAGGGCAGAAAAAACAAAAAAGGGCACCAGCAGCATGCGGTGGGGCACCAGCACGCAGGAGGTTTTCTAGCAGGTAGCCTTCACGGCACTGCATCATTGCGTCTTTCAATTATAAGGCCACCATAGAGGGCACAGCGTCACATTTCCTCTACTGGGAGGGCGCCCGAGATGGCACTTTTGCTGCCTTTTTTCTTTCGACCAGTCCACTAGTGGCAGCGTCCATCAGCAAACACCGATGATGTGGCTGACTTCACAGTACAGGAGAGGCCTCATAGCTTTTTACTGCTCTATATCGGAGAACAAATATGTGACAAAAAGAGATATAAAAGCTGCCCTATAAAGAGGCGATCAAAACTATTCACCGTGTGGTTACTGCTTTTATCTTTAGCGCTTCATACTAACTCCATTTATACTTTGGTTGATGCCTGAGGGAATAAATCCCCATAACTGTCATCATCAGCGCCCTGCCGGACACAGAGGCTTCCATTTACAAATATCCACGGCAACTTAAAGTGTTGCTTGTGTTTCTTTGACCTGCATTTTGATGCTGATCAAAATTTGACAAACAAATGAGCTTTTAACTTAGGGAACGTCAATGTCACTTCTTTGTTCTTTGTGTTGACTGTCTTTTTAATGACCTTGACTTGTGATACAATTTGAGTTATTTTGTTTGTGAAATATGATATGCTCTATGAAGAAACCTTGATTTAATTGCAGCATTACACTCGGAGCTTTCTCACCTGCATCTGGGTTGTGGTGATCTGGTCTTTGGCTCCTCTCCATTCACAGGCACCTCCTCATGGCTCTTCACCTCCTCCGTCTCCTCTGGATGCTGCGCCTCCAGGTGGACGTGGCTGGGGGAAGACGGGCACGGGGAGGCTGCCGATGAGCCGTGACCAGTTGAGTCCTGGGAGGAAGACGAGGACAAGGAGGAAGAAAAGGAGGAGGAACCTCTTTGACAGTCGTCCTCGGATAGATTTTCAGACCACGTGGACACCAGTTGTTGGAGGTTGCTGATCCTCTCCAAAATGCAGTCCAGAGCAGAGAAAACATCTTCACCTGCCAACAGTCGACCCACCTGAGAGAGGAAAACCATTCGGAAAAGATCAAAGGAAAATTCCCCAAAGAAACATTTCTCACCAAAACTAATTGACAAGCCACTATACCTACTAGTTTAAATGAGTAACGTCACTATAATAAACTAGAAATATTACATTGTTCAATCACCACAGATAGTAGTTATATAGAACGCCCAAAAGGAAAGTGGTAAAAAACTTTTTCTTCAGTTGATTGATTCTGCAGATTTTAGGATTTTGTAAATGAAGGATTTCATTGCCATAAAGCAGTTTTGGAAATGTATCGCTCAATTTCTTCAGAAGTAAGAAATGCTTAATGATTTCTCTTTTCCCTCCATGGCTGCCATGTTTTTGTCAAAGAGGGTTCCAACTTTATTCCAAATTGCACCTCTTATACTTTGGGTGTAGTTATGTGTGAAGAAGGATGATTAATTCAGACCGATTATTGTATTGTTTTAATCTAAAATGGAATTTTTATAGGAGCACTCACAAAATGATTTCTGGCCTTATGGGAAAACTTAGCTTAGCAATATCAATGTCATTGATTGAAGACCTGCGTCTTTATAGACTTTCATTTTAGATTGTCTTTGCATGGGGCTTTATCCATCCTTTAGGCGAAAGGCAGGAAAGCCAATGAGTTATTTTATTCTCTCTGGAAAACCTTTACTAAAGGGAACACATAGTGGAACTTTACAGACATGTTACACAAAATAAACACAATGTATCACACATGTTGATCCCTAACAGTGACTCAATAATTACCTCAGCAGGTAAAAATCTTCTCGCTGATCTGTTCTGTAATTTTGGATCCACAAAGTCATAGCCAGGTGCAACAAAAGATATAGCTACAGTATATGTGGCCCTTGAACCCACTCGTCCACTGTAGTGGCAGTCAGGGGGTTCAGCACCATGGACAGAAGCCTTTCAACGGTGCGAGGTCACCTGTTCAGCACCTGGACAGCTCCACTCTGCTGTGCCACTCAATAGTTTGTTCCCTTATATGAATATCACACACACATGCTAGGATGACTCTCCTCATTATTCCCATCCACTTAGATGTTTTGCTTCACAACATGGAGAATGATTCTGTCTTTTGCGTGACTTTGTATTAATGACGCAATAAATCCTTGAAATGGGGATAGTGGCGCACACACTTTCGTACAGTCTCTCCTCTAGATATTTATGATGTTGTACTCGCATGAAAAGTGCTGGAATGTCGGATTGTTTGAAGCTGCTAAAATTATCGAATGCATTTCCCCCAAATTCTGCTGTTGGAAAGGAGGTTTCAAACACTGATAGACCATCTGAAAAATGCTTTGTTTGAAGCATACTAAGTAATGTAATACCCTGAACTAAATCTAAATCTATATATATATATATATATATATATATATATATATATGACAATAAATACATGTAACAGTGGAGTAACAGTCTTTGGACCCACCTCTGATTCTTCACCCATCCTTTCTGCATCGCTGCCACTTCCGCCACTGCCAACTTCACTTTCAGACAGCTGCTGGTCGTCAGGCACGTTGTCGTAGATACTCAGCCGATGATCCAGCACAGCGAGCGGACTGGGGACTCCTGGTACCTGGTCACCAGTGGCCAGTGATGACGTGCCATGCCGGCAACTGTGTCGCCCCCCGTAGCCGTGGAAACTCCCGGTCCTCCAGTTGACGGAGGTGTCGTCGATAATGGGGGAGAGGGGGGTGCGTTTGTGTGAGAGAGAGGTGGGGAAGGTCCCCGGTTTGTGCCCGTTGGGGACCTGGAAGATCAGACTCTCGGGGCTGCTGTTGTTGTTGTTGTTGATCTGGTTCCTGAAGTCCTGAGAGGGTGACCAGATGGATGAGGGAAGGACAGAATAAAGTATTCAGGGAATATAATATAGCATTTATTTAATATTATTCAAAATGTCCATTGATTAGCCAATGTTAGCATTTTAACAAGCTACATTTTTTGGACTGACCTCTGTTCCTGTGTGGTTCTGGTTGTTCCAGGTCGCTCCACCAACGACCCCGACACCGCTGTTGGAGCGTTTGCAGTTACTCCTGACCCGGGTGACCGGGCGGGGCGTACTGACGTTGCTGCTGCTTTCAGAGTGGCTGTTGCTGCTACTGCTGCTGCTGATGGTGTGAGGAGACGAGGGCGAGGAGGACACACGGCTGTCGGGTCGACCCTGCAAGCTGGAAACATTCAGGTAGGTAGAACTCTACAGTTAAAGCTGCTCTGGGAATGACCTGCAGTTACAATTCTGGCACAAACAAATATTCCATCCGCAAGAAAAATATCTTTCTCAGTCTTTTCTTTTCAGTACAATGTAATTTTCCAATAATGCATTGCTTTATTTATTTTTCTAACTTATTTTTCATATTCACTATTCACTACTATCATCAGTTTTGGGGATTTAGCTACAACTTGCGGATCTGGTTAAAAGGATTCTTTGATCATTCTGGAAATAGCTTTAAAACAGTAGATAATGTTGTGAAAAAATCTTCTGGGTTTTTAAAAGATTGCAATCCACAATCCTGACCTTGACGGGCAGTGCAGCCTCTCCATCCTCTCCTCCTGCTGGACCTGAACAGGACTACTGATAACGTGCCGGGCCCGACTCTCGCTGTTACAACCACCACTGTGAGCAGAAGGGAGGAGGCCAGTTGTTCCCCTCAGCCTCAGTTTCTCCATCTTCCTCAGCAGACTGGTGCCCTTCTTCCTGGGCGGTTTGTCTGGGAGGCAGCCTTCGGAATCCGGAGTCATGGTGGATGATCCTCCACCACATCCATCAGGGGAGGGGGGTCCACTAAATGAGGAGTCTACAAAATGCATCTTGTTGGTGGAGGAGCAGCGGGAGGAGCTCCTGCTGGTCTCCTGGTCGTCTGAGGGGGTTGTGATGGCGTCTCTGTGACCCTTGTGGTGTCCGTTGTGGCCCTCGCTCTCAGTGCTGCTGGAGCTGTGGATGGAGCAGATGTCATGTCGGTCGCCGACGTCACACAGAGAAGCATTCTGGGGTCCGGTGGCGTTTTCAGACAAGCAAAGGATGTCCATCGCGGAGTTGAGGCGACGCCATCGTCGGATCCGCCTGTCGTAGGTCCAGTTGGGGCTGATGGCACAGAAGTCTTCTTCGTCAAAGTCGTCTCCCTGGAAGAAGAAGGAGGGTTCAATTGCACAGACAAGAGCGCACAAAAATCTGGATATACCACAGAAATATTACCCACAAACAACATTACAGTTTAACACAATATGCACCGACACTAATATATGCGTGTAGGCACGACGATGTGCAAACAGAACACTCAGACAAACACAGAGGCCCGACATTTACACAAGCACAAACATTCAATAATTCAATAATTTATACAAGCATGAACATCATTTTACATTCATGCAAACATCACACATATTTCATTTAGAATGTAGTTTGATTGTTTTGAGAATATATTGTGGATTTAGCGACGCCGTGTGACTTAAAGGGACACATTTAAAAAATGAAGATAATCTTACTGTGTTCTACCAAAGTTAGAACACAGAATAATGAAGAATGTACTGGATGGTAGATAGAATGTCAAAGTTGATTTTGTTAATCCAGTTGGAATTTACAAAAAAAAAACACCATAAAATAAAAAAATAAAAAAAATCATTCTTTATAACTCCAGCTTTGGTTTTCTTGGACTTCACTTTCTCCTAGAAAGAGGAACTGGAGGAGGAGGACTGATCACTTTGTATCTGTCAAAATCAAGTGATGCTTAATGGGGAGATTTCATGGTGTGACACCCCCCACGGGCTCGGCCTGCCTTCATATGAGAGTCCTGCTGTGTTCCAGTTTCTCGGTGTTTGCTCTCAACACTCACCCTGCGTTTTGATCTCCGTGGCTCCAGCCTCATTTCCACACTTTTGTTTAGAGTGCTTAATCTCCTGAAAGAGGGAGGAGAGATGAAAGTGGATGGTGGTTAGACAGGCAGTGTCACATAACAGTGACCTGCTGTACACATTCTGATACGTTTGCCAAAATGTAAGCAAGCGCTTGTGTTTCAGAGCAAGCTTGTGACCAGAAGGCAGCTACTTTAATCCCCGGACCAACGGGATAAATCGGAGGAAACGGCAGCATTTGCCCGTCCCTCATTACCACCACTGTGATGCCCTTGAGCAAGGCACTAAACCTCTAACTGCTCCACTGGAGCGTCTTATTGACTACAGATCACAATGCAGTTGTAGTAAGTGAATGTGAAGCAGAACGTTCCTGCAAAAGGGTCTAAAGAGACTAAACTAAACATTTCCCAGTGGAACTACAGTTAAAGTAATACGCAAGAGAAAAGCATGTCACTATTACAGCTGTAACTACACAATGATGTTAAACAAATACAAGTAATTAACATGTTTATCCGTTTTTAATAACTCATGCATAAAACAAAGCTTCAAAATGGCTGATTTACCTATTCAATGATGTCATTCTTAAAAAGTGGGTCCCCAGAAAAAAGGTTTTATAATATAACTGAATAAAACAGCAGTACAAATACGGCCTCAGACATTAAAGCAACCAACCATTGAGTTTAATGAACATGTCTCTGACACACAAAAAATAAAAGTTTTAGATTTAGAAGTGCACCTGTGTTACCTGCAGAGTGAATCGAGGGCATCCTTATCCAGGAAGCGGTGATCACGCTTCGCCCACTCAATGTCAATGGGAACCCTGCAGTCTGACACACACACACACACACACACACACACACACACACACACACACACACACACACAAGACAAATGAAACACTCAGACATTGTTTGTGTCATCTTGGTGATGACTCTGGGGGCTGTGTGGATTACACTAACACTCTTATATTTACCTTTGAATAATTGCACATACTGAGGGAAGCCGGCCGCTTGCAGCCAATCGCAGGCCTCCTTGGCTTCAATCTCTGCAAACAGAGAGAAGAAAAACAGCATTTGATTCAATTAAAATCATTTCACGCTCCGCCCGCTTTAAGAGGGCAAATATTTGCCCTTAATCAGTCGTGTGTTTATGAAGTTAAATTACATTTGCATTTGGGTAAAAACTGGAAGCACATGCAGGCTATTAATTATCTGTGACTCTTGGAAGAGGCCATTTTAATTACTGCTAATTGGCTGTGTGTGGAGATGAGGGCTTCCCTCCTCTCTATCTTCTATACCTCGGCCTTGCTTCGCCCTCTGAGGTTGTTGCCATCGATGTGCACATGACGTTCTCACATGCCACTCATTTGCTAGTGATACCCATGAAAAAGGATTCATTTCAAAATGTGTGTGTTTTGTCAAACATAGATCCAATTATGGACATCATGGACATCTACACTCTGACTTGAGAATCTTGGTGCCAATGTTGAGCTGTTATCATGATGTAAGAGACTGAAAAGCCCAAACATCACAGGCACCCTCACTCTGGTTTTCATATCGGGTTCCATAAAAAAAAGGCAAATTCTGGTCCTTTTTTCTTGCTCTGATTGTGATTTTTGAAGGATCTGCTACATTAGCATTTGTTTCAACCAAAATTGATGAAGAGAAAGAACAAACAGACAAGAGACCCAAGAGATAGTAAGACGTCAACACAAATTTCACTGAAGGATGCTGTTCACAATGGCAGAGAGTATCCAGGTAGGCTGCTGAGTGTTTTTTTGAAGAACTGTTGCAATGCTCTGATTTAGTTTCTTCTCCTCTTGTTCTTATCTTTTAAAGTAGAACAGAAATATATAGTTTTTGTTCTGACTTGTGCACTTCACACGAATTCATCATCCCTGGTAAGATGGAACATTATGCACAATAACTGCACATTGAATTTAGTTATTCGCACAAAAAGTGTGGTAAACCCCAAACATGTCATTATCTTTAATATCGTTATATATAAATGTCCCGGTCCGTTGTTCCCCAGCTTGCTCCTAGTCCATGTCCATGTGTCCTTGTATGGATGTTATAGTCCTGAGCAGGTGGGACCTTGCATGTTAGCCCCTGCTACGAATAGAATATGAGCATCTAATGTTAAAGCGCTTCGAGTGGTCGGAAGACTGGAAAAGCGCTTTACAAGTAAAATCCATTTACCATCTTCTTCCTCTTAAAAGTTCATGAAATCCTTATTCTTTCAAAAGTATTTCTATCGGTATAAAAGAAAAGATGTTGATAGTGAGAAGAAACACAAATATAAACAGGCAATAAACCTCTTCTGCAGTCAAGTATTTCTTCCACATGAGAGACTCTGAAGCAAAGTATTATTAGAAAAGACCGAGTGGAAAAGAAAACATTCTGGCGTGAAGCATAAAAATGATTTGTTGATCCAGGATGTTTACAATAAGGAGCGACAGAAATCATTTTCTCAGTCTGGTTGCACGGCCCAGAAGAGGATTTGGATTTTCTGAGGGGTCTCAAAATACTTGTCCACCACAGCCCTCCCTGAAATGTTAAACGTGCTCTCTCTCTCTCTCTCCGTGCACAAGAGGCCCGTCACGGGGAGAATACCTGCCAAGGGCATTTCTTGTTTTCATATTCAAACAGCATGAAATATGGCCGACATTAGGCTCCACTAAAGAACAACAGCAGCAGTTTGCCCATGACTGATCGGGTCTTCAAACACTTCTTGTCTGGTGCTTGTGTTTTTTACTGCCTACTTATTCACTTCAGTGAGACTTGAAGGGAAGGCACATAATTCACATTTCATTTTTTGGTGACTTTTGAAAAGTTGTTTTTCTAAAATTCACTAGACAGCAGGATGGAAACTTGGAGTATGAAGTGGTCTCGCTATTTCCCCCAAGACACCCGAGGATCTGGAGAACAGCGCGACACAAAGCAGATGGCCCAGATACGTAAACACTTGGGGGGGGAAATTCAGCGAATATGGCAATCATCAAAATGACAGAAGAGGGAGGACAGACAGACAGACAGAAGTAAACTGACTTTACGTGAGTAGCAGCCAAAGAAATTAACAGCTTGCACGGTAAAATACAGAGGGATTGCCAGAAGTATGTTCATCCTGACCCAAAAGTCCTGCTTGTTAAACATCTGAGAGCAGAGCCTATTTTCCGGCATTACGATGGAGATGTGACATTTGAGATAGAAAAGGGATCAAGTGTGCTTGCAGAGCGGCGGCCTCGCATGTCCGCGAGAGGATCTGTAAATCCAGGGATATGTGACTCTACCAGCGTTAGAGCCCTGAACTTAGCGAGACACCCGCACCACTTTCTCAGTGCAGACATCACTCCGAGCACTGTCCCTATCCATCGCTAACACTGACAAATCACAGCCCGTCATTCTGCAACCTTGAGGGTCACAAGTTAAAAGCTTGTGACATTTAAACCGGTTTTCTACTTTAAATAGGTCTAATATTCTGCTTTAAGGCAATCGTGGCTCAGAGCTTAGAGAAGGAGCTTCTGTTGGAAATGTTTGAGGTTACAGTCCTCATGCCTGCAGGGAGAATCTTAGAGGGGGAAGTGAGTGATTATCATTTTTAGAATTATTTCAGAAGTCCTTGTGTGAAGCGTTCATACCCAAATAACTGGAGGGCAGTTTGCGGATGGAAATGGATTGGCGCTGCATTGTAGTTGGAACTGAGATATGTGTTGAAGTCAAAAGAATGAATCAGAAGGAGTCAGTCGAACTTGGATGAGAGGAGAAAGCCCCAAAGCAAAAGTTTGTCTTCTTTCATTTCTTACATGCTACAAGGTGTTTGGATGTTAAAGCAACACGAGGCATCTTCACAGCTTTGGAGGCGCCAAAAGGCAGCAAGACGTAAAATGAAAAATTGCAACATCAAAAACACAGAAATACAGGAAGCCCAGACAGGTAGACTGCGCTCAGTGTGCTTGTGTTTACCATCCCCTCTGCCTGCCCAAAGAACACCCAAGAGGTACCAAAGAGGAGAGAGGAGAGGAAAAAGATCCAACAGTGTGAGTCCACTGTTCTCCGCATGGAGTGCTATAGCTCACTTCTGGGCAGGAGATAGATTTCAGACTTTCAGATGCGATTCACCTCTTCCATGTGGGTAGACAAGTGTCCAAAGGTTTGCTTTGCCATGTAGACCTTTTCGCTCTGACATTAAAGGATACCTTGCTACTTCTCCTCCTCTCAGCACCCAGCCCATGCCAAATCATTTCCTAAAACAGCCGGGAACTAAAGTTATTTAAACAGCTGTAAAACAACACAACTTGTTGGGACTATCTCCAGAGGCATCCGCATTTTGGTGCCAAGTTTGAACAAGGAAGGAGTGGAGCCAAAAAACAAGATATATTGGAAAATAATTAGCTGGCGCAGGCGATGCTGCTTGGCTAAATAGCAACATGGTAGCGACATCTGCGTTTCCTAGAGAATGTGTCCTCTCTTGATTAAACAGCCTCCCTGTTTGGTTAATTAGTTTGATATAACAGTGATAACGACCTTTTGAGGGGTTGATACAGGAATACAGTGGACGCGGTTGCACATTTTAAGTTTAACGCATACAGGTATACCTAAATATTGTACTGTCCACAATTGCATCTTTAACATTGACTGTTAATCCACACCTGTCAGAAGCAACAATATACTTCATACTCTGCTGGTATGTTTGGTCACCGACTTTGACTGCTACATTCAGGGGCGCCTCTCTACTCAGCTCAGCGTTTACGTGAGTAACGCTATCTCCTGGGCTCCAGTATGACCACAGCAGGCAATGGCCTCTTCCCTTTCCAAATGACTCTGCCTCTGAGGAAGTTGTGATTTGGTCCCTCTGGGCTCCGCTAAGAGATTTGGATATGCGATTAGTGCGGCTCCGGCCTGCTAGCGCCAGGAAGCTGGACAGCGTGTGTCTGAATGCTGAGACGTGCTCAGCGGACCGTTTGTGTTTGGTGTTAGGGTTTACAGCTTTTCTGTCAATCACTACAAATGACTTCAGAGAAAAAGACAATTGTAATACAATCAACATGGATTTGAGGTCCCGTTTTGACATATTCTTTTCCTTTTGAGGCTGATTACGGTGTGTGTTTTCTTGATAACTTCAAGAGTCGATGTTATCATCAATCAGCAATTATCAATTAGCAACACTTCATGAATCAGCCGGTTCATGGATTTCACTGGTTATAAATCACAAGGCACACAGTCCATGCCAGGATAGGTAGGTACTGCTTGCTTGTGTATTACCTTATTTATCATACTTGAACCACAACAGAAAAATGCATCCACGAAATAAGCGTATTTCCTAAAATGTCACCCTATCCCTTTCAGTGGAAGTAAACGAGAGTCAAGGCAACTTGTCACACTGATGCGGATTAACCCTTTGCCTGCTATCTGACCATCGGCCATATTTCTGAGCCAAAGTCCAAATTTAACTCATGTTTGAGGGCTTTTCACACCACTTTTACGCCTCACTGTGTTGCTGTTGGGGGAGAAGAGCAGCCACTGCCCCGCTTGCAGTTCAGGGAGACGCTTGAGTGCGTCTCACAGGACTCGAGAGGTGTGGTTAAAGATCAGAGGTATATGTCAGCTGTCAAAACGGCGGACAATGTTTCCCTCTACCTATTGCACGGTTCCTCTGCTGGTATTCCCCTGTCAGTCAAGTCAGCTCAGCAAGTGGAAGTTTAAGACGTCTGTGCGTGTGTACAATACAACTTTTCTGATGAACCAGGACTTGAACGATCTGCCCCAGCCCGACATGCGTTGAAGCCGCACACAAAACTAACTTTAATATTGAAAAATATATTTTTTTAAATCCAATGCTCATCAGAAGTATTGCTGCGTGTTTGTCCCGCTGACGTCGGCAATGATCAGCGAAATGTTCATATTTTGTATTGTGAGTTATTAAAAAAGGCTTTTGAAAATTCCCTTATTTTTTAGGCGTCTCAGTGATATCCTGTAATAATCCTGCTGAAATTCCACAGTTAATGTGGAAAAGTCATAAAGGCCACTGTGACGGGGATCCTGACGCCTGCCTACTGTCACCACTGTGAAGTACCACAAACACAGGCTTCTGTTTTGCAAAAACATACATGTCTAAAGTTATATTATATATTTTACTTTACAAATCTATTTTATTCTGTATAAACAGGGTCCTTTTACACGTATTTCTACTCACTTAAAATAATCCCAGGAGCCATCTAGAGCCCTTAGACACAAGCCAATATCCGTCTATGGTCACGTTTACAATATTTAAGGTTGTGGTATAGGTTTAGGCTTAGGTATTACACAAGAAACACACAATTTCCCCTAATATGTTTATGGGAATGGCAAGGCTGATCTCTGGCTTTTAATTTTTTGCTTAACAATTGTTTTTGTATTTATTCATGTTCTAGTTCAGCATCTTTTCAAGATAACATGCTACACAGCATTTTATGTTTTGTTTGTATTCTAATATACTATAATATGATTTCAGACTTTTCATGAAATTTCCAGGCTGCGCACACACACACACACACGCACACACACACACACACGCACGCACACACACAGAACATGACTTGGCTCATCCTGAGCTGGCAGGTATATCTGCATGAGCTCATACATAGACAGACATAATCCTGCAGTATAATCATTCCTGCATGCTGTTGCCAGTCGTTGCTAACAACACTGTCTGTCCTGAGACTCTGTGCCAGTGGAGAGATGGCTTTACTAAGTTCGTATAAACACTCTCAGGTTGGCGTGAAGCAAATTGGAGGAACTACAGGGGTATTTCAGAAAAACAGATATGACAAAGCCCGGCACTGTGTCACCGGGCAGAAAACCAGTTGTCGACAAGCCAAACTAAACCACATGGAGGGATTTGTTTTATTATTATTTATTTTCTGTAATTTTAGAGCACTTCACCTGCTGTGTCCTCCTTCAAAAGTTGGGCAGCCTTTTACCATGATTTCATGCAGGCTGTAGAGCAGATGTCTGGGAGGTATGCTGAGCGGACATCTAGCTTGACTCTCACTGGCCTTTGCATCCAACTATGGCAGCTATGCTGGAAGAATGTCGACCTTCTACTAGATCATCCAACTGAGCTGATTTAATGAATTAATCTGAGGAATAAAATAGGCCATCGGGTTTCACTCTACATCCACTACATCACCTTCTGGTTTGTTCACTTTTTTTGTCACAGTTCAAATCGGACTTGTGTTTATCTAACGCCTTTCTAGTCTTCTGACCACTCAAAGCTATTTACACTACGTGTCATTCACCCATTCACACAAACACATTCATATAATGATGTCACACTGCATGGCTACATCCTGCCCCATCAAGCCTCTCACATTCACACACAGCAGGCACAGCCTTCGGTAGCAACTTGGGGTTAAGTGTATCACCCAAGGACAGATCGACCTGGAGTCGGGGATGAAGACATTGATCTTCCGATTGGAGGATGACTCGCTCTACCTCTGAGACATGTGGGCATCATAGATCACCGTTCATAGCCAAGGCTTGGTTATGTCTCTTACTGTTTCATTCAGTTTAGTGCAAAACTAAACATCCTTTATAAGGTTAGTAGCTCATCTGCCAACTATATGCATCAGTGTTTTCACATCATGATTGTTTCTGTGGTTTTTGGCATCTTTTAGTAAACTTTTAATGAGGGAGGAAAGGGTCCAGACTCACACGGACGTATAGCGCGCCTGCACAAGCGGGAGACTGTTCATGCGGAAGTGTTTTAGATAGTAAGGTTTTAGTGAAGATGCATGTGTTTGGGAAGTAGTGAGTATACGACTGGATAAATGAGACTTGGATTATACTGCACGAGTTGTGTGAGAGTTTGTAAACTGTTGCTTTGATATAGTTTTGCTGTTGATGGTTAATCGCCGCCATTTACTTCATTCAATTCATCAAAACTTTTCTCCATTTTTTGATCCTCCTGTCCACTTGGAGGCATGCGGGGAAACCAAAGTTTCCTTCATGAGTTCAGGGTAACACGGGGTGAGTACATTGATGTACAGATGTGTATTTTGCGGGTGAAGTATTCCCTTAAAGATTTTCTTCGTACATGTACTAGACACATCAATAATTCAGCAGGTGGTTTAGCTGCAAAGGGATTTTACAAGTTTTAGGCTAGTGTGAGGCTAAGGATTAGCGTTTCATTTTTTAATATACTCAGATCTTAGCACAGCTTTTCAGCAGCTCAAAAATATTGATGTATTGTGCTGCAGTGACCAACTCCATCACTTCAGTTCACTGTTAACTGGGTTACTTATAAATCTGAAAATTAGAGCCATAATATTGTTATTGTAGCACCGATGGAGAATGATTGCAGCTTTCCTCGTCACAACCTGCTTCACACATTCACTGACACACAACAACATGGTGAGGAAGTCACATGTTATGTAATGGGAGTGCAAATATGAGGTCCACTGATGTCACTGTTGAAAGCAGAAAGACAAAAATAAAACCAAAACTGCAAATCAGGTCACAGATTTCAGAATAAAAGCAACCATTTCCAAATAATTTACATATGATTATCATACAGGAGTGCATTACTACACAGACATACATATATTGAAGTTTTTAGACTCAAATTCATTTCCAAAGTTTGAATATTTGCACACTTTATTTGGCAGTTGATCAATTCTCTACAACAGAGCACATTTTAAAAATAACCCACACACATTCAGAGTGAGTCCTACGCCGTTTTTGACAGAGAAAAGGCTTTTTATTCTACTGGAGTTCAGAACTGATCTTGTGATGTTTTCCTGCCCACGGCCTTCAAACAATAAAGAGCTCTCAGAGGATAATGGAGCGCTTCAAATTCCTTTCCTGCCGCCGAGAATCAAGAACAAGCCTGTTACACTTTGACTAAAGCTGCTGATACATATTTACACAAAAATCTGTCGAAAACTATAGTGGCCAAGCATTACTCCAGCCTCTCATGCACCTCATAATGTGAAGTCAGTCTTCGATTAATTCAACAAACTACCAGAAGAGACTTTTATAAGTAGCCCAGGAGCTAAAGTCTGTCTTAATCAGATCCTCATTAAATACCACTCTTTAAGCTAATTAACCAATCATCTCCTTAATGAATGTCATCAAGCATCAATTCTCAATTGTCATCTAAAAGAAAACAGGCAGAAGTCAATGGCTAAGATTCTCATTATCTCCCCGTCTGTCATATAACGCAACAGATGAGCTGCAACTGAACACATACTCACTTGTGATCAACATGCTTCTTCTTGGATGGAGGGAAGTTTAACAAACTTCCATGTGAGAATGGATGTAGAGTCAGACGCATAAAGATGTTCAAAGAATTAAGTCCAGAGGGAAAAATAATATATCCAATGTTGTAATAAAGCAGTAAATTCCAGTAGTACTGGTCATGTTGGGCATCATGTTAATGAAGTCATTGTTGAAGATTTCCCCTACCACTCCCCTTCCTCTGACCCGGACCGGACCATCTGAACACCGAGGGAGGGGAGGGGGGAGTCCTAAAAATAACCAGAGGTAAACACTTCAGACACATGAGGTTCAGACACACAAACCGATATTACTTTGAGCTTCTGTGACTGTATAGAAGTGGAGGAAGGATCGGAAAGTCAAATTAGGGAGATACAATCTGTACATGGGGAATGTTGCTGACCCTCCCTGGAAGGAAATGAAGGATCCCAGAGCGAGCTTTCTGCCCACTTGGTAGAAAGGCCATCACTGACCGCAGATTTCCACAGGACAGGAGTTGGCTTTGAGCCTGGCAATTTATACTATAATTCAAAATAGGCAATTCAGAGGAGTGAGAAGTTCCACTTTGCCTCAAATGAGGTCTGTAGTGAAACTCATGATAGAAATCAATATTCCTCGGGCCCTGCATCACAACCCTCAGATGATGAAATTACAAAAATACAGTAGCGTGGAAATTAACAAGATTTTCTCATTTTCAAGATTGAAGATTTTCCTCCGATTCTGATCTCTGACCTGCTCATGGCAGTTAGCGTTGGCAGGGGGAGCTTTGAGAAAGCGCCACTTCAGATGAAATGAAATACAGACGAATGCCTCAACACGATGGGGAGAAAAGTCCTTGCCATGCCCTCATAGCCTGTAGTTCTTCAAGGTTTCATCTTGGCTCAGTCCAAGGTATACCATTAGCGTTAATGGCCTTCCATTTAACACGTAGGTGTTTGATTATGAGATTCTAAATGTGAAAAACTCCCTCAGAGGAGAAGAGAGGAGAGCGGTCTGCATGATTCGCTACATTAATTCACAAGTGGAGGGGGAGAAAGTGGGAGTAGGCAAACAACTAATGGACTTTTTCACACTCTGTCGAGAGTCATGCAGCAAGAGGAGGAAAAGCAGAAAGAGAGAAAAAAACAGGACACTTGTTTTCTACTCTTTGGCAACATTTGTGAGAAGATTTGTAGGTTGAAAAAGATCTGAAAACATCTGGTTATGAGTAATATAGAATATACAGAGGTTAGACAGGCACGTTGCTAGGTTTTGAAAATTGGATAGGCCGAAGGAATTTTGGCTGGGCCTTTTATTTCCAGACGTTAATAGATTGTTTACTTGCGAAAAGTTTCTATCTATCACAAGTGGCACATTCCAGTATACAGACGAAACATTTTCAGGTATTTCTCACTTTATACTGCAAGTGTTAGGATAACATTTTGGCCGGGCCAGGGTCACCATCAAATTACCCTAACTGGTTAATTATATGATGTGTGTGAGGACAACACAGCTTCAGAGAGGACAGCTGCCATGTCCTGCCTTACAATTTGTTGAAGCCATTATATTAACTCACCAGCAATCGCATTTGTATTCCAACCTATTTTACTGCACTTTGAGTTATTCATGTATTTATTCATTTGCGAGCTCATATCAAAGTCACAGAGGGGAAAGAGAGGCCTGCAGTCTCTGGAGGCTGACAAGATGTTGACTAGAAATCAGGATTAAAGCAGAGCTCAGGGCCTGACCTCTGGCTCTGCTAACAAAAAGCCTCTCTCTCACTGCATGCGAGTGTCTGTCTGCGGTGTATAAAGGTTACACAAGACTGCATTTCCTTCTCTCAAGCAAGAGCCTCACGGGCGTCAGAGGAGGAAGAATCCAACAATACTCCCAGCGGATGGGAGTTTTTGTGTGTATGTGTGCAGTGTTTATATGTGGTACGTGCATGCGTGTGTACATATGTGTGTGTGTGTGTGTGTGTGTGTTTGAGGGAGGCAGTTACAGTATGCAAGGATGTGATGTGTTGCGTTTACTCTCACAAGCTTAGCCTTGTATGTGTGCTCTGGGGCGTGTACGTGTTTGAGTTAACTTTGTGCTTTTAAGTGTGTGTGTGTGTGTGTGTATGCAGTCCAATCTGAATCCAGCCTCTGAGGCTTCGAGGCTGGTATTTCCGATGTAGCAGGACAGGAAGCGGCCTGCTCTCTTGAACTGTGTCCCTCCTTTTGAAAACTGCAGCACACACTCTACAAGACCTATTACTTCATCAGTGTGTGAGTGTGTGTGTGTGTGTGTGTTGGGTGTGTGTGTGTGTGAGAGACAGTTTCTGTGTACATTTACTGTACGTACGTAGAGTAGTCTGGGAAATATTTAATCATAAAAACAAGTAAAACAATTAGTCAATTAATCATTTCAAGTCATTTATTACGTAAAAAGTAAAACACATTATTTGCTTCCAGCTTCTCAAATGTGATTTAATTTGCTGAAAAATAATTCACATGTCAACGTCCACACATCACACCACAGCACCCTGATGTCCTAACCAACAATATTATTATGGATACCACTTTGACAGTGCATTAAATTGATCATCAAAACAACCGCCTTCCTCCGTTTAGCCTCACAAAAATTAACCAGAAGAGAGATGAAACTCTACATAAAAGGCTGAGGACACCGCAGTGGGTGCAACTAGGCTACAGAAAGTAAATAGACCCAGAGGGCACCAGTCTTGTGAGCGTGTTTAATTTGGCTCACATAGTGTGCTCGCCCGGTGATTAAATAAGACAGATGCAACTTTTTGTATTTTTTCATTTATTTACCTACGTAAAATAAAGCAAACCTTGAAACCAATTACATGTACATCTCCATGAATTATGTGGCTGCCAGCGTGACACACAACTGTACTACGGTTTTGAATCAAATCACGGTATTTTGTCACCGTAAACAAGAATGTGACTTAATTTACACATCATAGCAAATCCCCTTCTGTCTCTCTGTGTAATTCAACAAACAGCATGAATGTTACAGTCATCACTCCCAAAATACATCACAACCACAGCTTCCTCACAGGAATAAATGTCTTGATTAAATGCCTAAATCCTGTTTTCTTTCTCTGTGGAAGTAAACATTCACTGCTGCAGATGACTCAAGCGGCCTCATGGTCTTCACAATCAATTAACTGGGGGTCTGATTAGAGCTCTTTATTAGCACTTATAATGATCTGAGAGTGTGAAGTAACGGGTCGTCTGCACATAGTTCATTTGGAAAGTGTCCCGAGTACACCCCCTAAAACCAACGGGTGGATACTCTGGCAGGAGCAGACTTTTTGGGCCCTTATTTTCTTCTGCTCTTCGTTTTGGTCAATGATCTTTATCTGCATTCAGAAGTGTATGTGGATTTGTGTGGGATAAGATGTTTGTGTCCCTCCAGTTAAATTTTTTGTCAATGTAAGAAAAAGGTTTTCTGATACCTTCAAGTGATTTTAAGGTACTATTACAAAACACTGGGATGCCTTCCTGCAATACAAAACCCAACATTCTGTTTATTCAAGTGCATAATTGCCCAAAAGGGTGACGGACAAACTCCCTTCATCTCTCTACAACTGTAAAACACAATAGCAAGGAGGTCTGTAGTTCAGATACACAGCTTCTATATATGGGGAAAGTGATCTGATTACGAGCCCTGAATTTGACATAAGGGTGAGCCTTAAACACAGAAATGTAAAAAGTACAAAGCTGTTTTCAAGGTAGAAGCAACATCTGTAAGAAGGAGTAAGAAAAGAAGAGCAACATGTTATTTTGGCTGGTGTTTATAATGGGCAGGCCATTGCAAGTGAATTCAGGAGATATCTTTCAAACTGCTTCAAAAGAAGAGGTCAAGGCTGCTGTTACAGCATCTGGTCTCTTTTTTTCTTGACAACACCTGTGAGTGAAGGTTCCACTTTCACTGCCAACATGATATCCATTTTCCTTTTTTTGTAAACATAAAACATTTTGAGGCCTATAGGTCACTTCATGTATCTCCGATATCAATCACAAGCACATCTGAAAGCTCCACTGAGTGATGCTTTTGATATCCGCTCTCAATGACATGACTGCCTGTATTGTGAAAAGGTTTTCAGCTGAGCAGCATTGTGTGGAGCTCAATTCAGCTTTCCACAATCACAACAATGTTTTGGTCCACACAACTCAACAGTGCGAAAGGCAGTGAGTCAAATAACCCAGCGTGTGAGGAAAGTTAGTCAACTCAGAGGTAGGTGTGTCAAACCCAGGATATACTGGGCGTGAGCATATCAGAGCAAATAAACTTCGACAGAGGCCAAACGAAAGAGAAATAAATGTTATCAAACTTCTGAAAAACGTTCAGAAAATTTCTGTGCAGCATTTTTCAAATGTCTTGTATCCATTTTTGGGTACAGCCGGGCAGCTTTGGCTCAGGGGCTAGAGTACCAGCTGCTACTGGTTAGTCACAGGAGATAGTATCTGTCTGCACTCTCCAGGATAACAGTTAGCAGGCGAAAATACGAAAATACTGTAGTCAGGGTGCGCAATACGCGGAGGAAATCGGGGTCCACCAAACCCATTGCTCCAGTGATATTATGCTGAAGCAATACATAGGATTTTATAAATGCAAGCCGAGGAGATCAACCGGGCTATACACGCTTTGCACACACATCACCAACTCGTATCTCGTCAACATTAAGGCCACTCACGCAACCACCAACTAAACAACCATGTTGCCACGCAACAGAATCCACACAGCACACTTGCCTCTCTCTCTCTAACCCGTCAGTCACAGCATGTTGAGTCGCTATTTTCAACCGAGTCTAAACATGATGTCAAAGTAGGGAAAGAAATAAATCCACTGCTTTTCAAGTTGTACGAGGTAACGTTGGGTTTTCTAATTCAGGCAACATTTGCATTGTGGCTCATTTGCAACAATGCCACTCAGAAACAACCGGGTATTCAATGCAATATATACAGACAAAAGGTTTGCACTTTGCGCTTACTACACTAGTAAGCTTTTAAGGGACACATTTTTTGTAAAGATTTTTCCAGAGACGCACCAACGTTTTGCTGTTGATCAAGGGGTCTCGGACCCCCCTACCTGTTGTATTTCGCACACTGACTGTAGTACATATCAAATTAGGCATTCAAAATTTGGAGAAAAAAATGGGAGAAAGTTGGTGTGAAGTTTAAAGCACTAACTGGTTCACTCAAGTGATAGATGAGGGCCGTTTGTTTCAAAATGCCCATTCAGCTCCATCTCCAATGTTGTTGATATAACAA